GAGTGTCAGTGCTATGAGAGAGTGGTTCACAAACACATCGCACAGATATACGAGTCTTACGTCCTGTCCAACAGAATCGTATGTCTTGTCTATGAATTGTGAGTCAATACAATACAATGCAATCAATTATTTTCACTGTTTATAATCATTTTGTCTCAAACTTATAATAGCATTGAAGGCAATAATCTATTGGTCGAGATCGTGAACAGAGCTAATGCGGGATATGTTTACAGTGAGAATGTCATCAGGTATTCAATACTCACTACTAATAGTAAATATAACCAAAATTTCAATTTCTCACAAATATTTCACAAATGTTAGAGTATATAAAATTTAATATAATGTGAAAAAGTATGAATTATAAGCTCTTTATTCTCATTTCTTTTGATTGTATGGAAAAGCGATTTATGAGCTTAAAAATGTTTGCACCAAATATGCGCTAACTTTTAGTTTCATTCAAATATTAATATTTTAAAGGTATCACAGAATCCAATAGTTGTATGATTTATAGTCGAGCTTTACTCACTTATTGGTGACTATATTTTGATTTTAATCGTATAAATCATTTCTTGAAATGAATATTTCTTTTATACATTTATGCCATTCATATGAATAAATGTTGTGTCGTTTAAATGAATTTTACAAAAATATTTTCTTATTATTGCAAGCTTTAAAATATTTAATATTCTATTAGTGTTTAATATTGAGCAATGAATGCTCACTTGAGATTGTATACAGTAGTATAAACTAACAGTAAAAGTAATCAAATTTGATTGCAGTTATTATATGAACCAAATAATGGAAGCCATCGACTACTGCCATAAGTCGGATATAATTCACGGCAATATAAAGGCTGAAAACATCTTAATGGCTGTGAATAGTAGTGGATCTCCGGTTAAACTATGCGGGTTTGGACGCACTCTAATGCAGAATCACTTCCAACAAAGTCCTGTCCAATACTACACGAAAAACAATTTATTCAATTCTCTATCCAATCCCTATTTGGCTCCAGAATTGAGTCAAGAGAAGGCATTATTCACGAAATGCTC